AATTAAGTCTTGGGCTATATCTCTATGTTGCTTCCTCTTTGGGAGTATTTCCAAAGTTTACCTTAGGAATTGAGTGGCTTGGGAGGAGGTAGAGATAGACAAATAAGAGAAATGTCAGTCAAATTCAACAACAGCTAGAGGTCAAATTGTTGTGTGATCCTAGTCACCTTAGAAACTATGGTGTTTTCTGCTTTATGATGCATTGATCATTTTTCAGAACTTGGTGAGATTTGGTATGGCAAGAAATAACTCTTCTTGGCAGGGGCATGTCCATAAAGACCCCAGCAGTGACCCATCCAAGTCTTCTTTGCTGCTCAGCAATTCTGCTACATTGCCTAGCACTAACTAGCTCACACTTCTTTTGTGGCCTCAGCTCCTATACCCTGCCCTCCTCCACCATCAGCTGACCATCTTGCTTCTTAGTCCACTAAGAAAACAGAACCATTCAGACTAGAGCTCCCCACACTTCTCAATAGCACATCCCAGCCCTCCCGCACACCACCTGCATTGCCCTCCCTCCTATCACTAGGGATTAAGTGGTTCTACTCTCAACTCAAGAACTTCACTCCAGAAATCATTCCATTTCTCTTTACATGTCCATAGTTTCCCCCTCTTGAAACCAATGAGCTCTAATTTCTCCCAACATCCCCTGTCTATTTCCCCCTTTCACAGCAAACCTCCTCTAAAGAGGGGTCTATTCTCTTCCACTTCCTCTCCTCCCACACTCTCTCAAAACCACTCCAGCCAGGCTTTATTTCTGCCATCCTCCCTCTGCTAAGGATACCAATGACTTCTAAGTCACCAATCATAAAAATTAATACTGTATTCTCTCATTTCATTTGTCTCATCAGCAGAACAGGCACAGATGGTTACTTCCTGCTTCTCAAAACATCCTTTCTCACTTGGTCTCTAGGATGCTACCCTCTCCTCTCCCCTCTCTCTCATTGGCTGCTGCTTCTCGGCCTCCTTGGCTGGGTCTTCCCCACTTTTTTTCACCTTCCTAGCCTCTAAATGTTGAAGTGCCCAGATCTTAATTTTCAGATTTTTTTCCTTTTCCCTTCTCTTCTCCACTATATTCCCAGCTGCTCTGTGTTGGTGACTTGTGGATTTCTACCTCTAGTCTGGACTCTCACCGGAATTCTGGATCCCCACCTCTAATCACTTGCCCAACTTCTCCACTTAGGTGTCTGAAGTTAGGTAGGCATCTGAAGTTTACTGTATCCAGAACAAAATCCTGTGGTTTTCACCTGTATCTCTTCCTCCTGTGGTCTTCCATACTCATTAAATGGAATCTCCACCAATTAGCTGCTCAGGTCAAAATACAGAATTTTCTTTGACTCCTCTTTCACTCACATTCCACAATTGAATCATCAGTAAATTCTTCCCAATTCACTTTGAAACTTTACAGATTCCATTCGTGGTAGTTATTCCAGTCCAAATCACTATCACCTCCCTCTCAATAGCCTCCTGCCTCTTTACTTCTATTCTTGCCCTCCCCTCCACCTTGCAGGCAGAATGATCCTTTGGGAGTCAAGACCCAGTCAGTCGTGTGCTTTCTCTGTAGAAACCCCTATAATGTCTTCCCACCACCTAAAACAGGCCTGCTGGTTATCTCTCTGGTGTTATCTCCTGCTACTCCCCTCCTTGCTCTTCTGTATCAATTACTGACCTCTTGACCTGTTGGCTCTTCTTGTTCCTGGAACATGCCAAGTCTACTGTTCCTCAGAGCCTTTGCACTTCTCTCCCTCATATCTGAAAACTTTTACTTCCAGGATAGCTGTAGTGGTTGCCCCTTAGGCATTCATATCTCTACTCAAATATTCCCTCATTAAGAAAGACTTCTATGACCAATCACCCCCATGTAAGAATATCCCCAACCCCTGTTACTCCTGAGCTCTTTTGTTTATTTTATCCCCACCCCCTGAAGCCATTATAATACACAATCTGACTACATATCTATGAGTATATATGCTTGACTCCTTGTCTGTCTCCCTCCTGGTCTCATCACCGGAATGAGAATTCCATGAGAACCCAGGCTTTGTTTTGTTCACTATCACATCCCAGACTGTAGAAGATTACCTTCCTCATAACATGTGGTTCAAAAATTGTTGAACAAATCACCACTCAAAGCTATTCAAATTCCATCAACTCTCTAGTGTCACCTGTACATTACTAAGCTGAGGTTTTATACTTTACACACACTTTATAACATCTGTTTTTGAAATAATAAACACAAGTCATAATTCCAAGGAGCTTGTCCTAGTTAGTAAAACTCTCAAGGAACTTCCCATAATCATGGCTCCTGCTGGCTTTGGCAGTCTTCCTCTCAGCATCCCACTCTGTTCTCTTTTGTCAGATTTCACTGGATGTTAACTTTGCCCTGCTAAGCCTTATTCAAGGTGCCAACTGCATTTGAAATTCTGCCTACTGTTTTGTCTGAGAAAAACCATTTTTATCTTCTCAGCATCTTCAAATTCTGTCTAGGGTGCTGGGGAGCACAAAGTTGAAGACTCCAGAACCACTCTTTCTTCTGTTTTCCTTTCCTTATCTTTTTGTTGTCTGTATATCTTCTTTTCTCTATTTTACAAAAATCAAGGAGATTTCTAGAAATCATGTTGATTAGCTTTAATGCCATGGTACAAAGTTATTGTCCCTGGCAACCATATTGTGCTTTAGAAATGTATCACAGATGAAGCCCATATTCCAGATCCAAACACATATGTAATTATGTAGTGTGTGGGGGGGATGTATTAGAAAAGGTTGCATGTTCCAGACATGGGAAATAAGTCGACCTCTATTCAGGTTATTGCCATAAATACAGAAAAGGAAAGCCCCTGCCCTGCATCAGTTTTCCATCGTAAACACGTAAAGTGTAGCACCACAGCCCAGGGAATGGAAAGCAAACACTCATGACCAAGGCTATCTTAGAGCCTAACCTCTGCAGAAGTGCTGTGAAGAGAGGCTGAAATACAGGCATGCATCACGGTGGCTGGCTAGCCTGTGTTGTATCTATCTGGGACCAGATCAGTTTGCAACGGGATCCCCCTCCTCACCCACCTCCACACTAATGTGCAGAATTCCACTCCCATAGCAGGGCAGCCATAGTCTACATAAAAAGAAATGAATTTATGCATCCTCATAGAGATGACCTCAAGCCTGGCTCTTGTGAGAAAAACATTGATTGGTGCTATTAAAATGCATAGTTTTTCACCAACACGTGCAAGAATGAAGAATGCAAAAGCAGAACCATTCATAGGACTGGTGAGAAATGGCAAGCACAAGTCAGACTAGGGATGGGTCTTCTGTCCTTGCCAAGAGGAGTCAGGCAGGAACTTCAGAAGCAAGGTGTTTTTTCCCCCAAGGGGCAGTAGATCAGAAACCAGAGGCTACTTCTGAGACTTTTCCTTATCTGAAACCAGAAAGGTTAGCAGAAAAAAATCTCCTCATGTGCTGCCACACTTCAAGGATCTGCAGGGCTGTTAAAAAAATTAGCTCAGCACCTTCAGCTTGCATTGGGCCGTCACTTAGCTTACCACACAGACATTCCGAATGGGGCCTTTTAAAACTCTGCTCTCAAATGAAGGTGGCTCAAGCAACACTTGGATGATATCACAAGACTCCCAGGGTGATGCTTCACTGCTTCCTCAGCATATGCCAGTGCCCATTTTACAAGGGGGGATTTATGATCCCTCTCTCAGTAGAGCAAGCCAAAGTTTTATAATATTCATTAAAAATCAGCACCACATGTAATAATATGGAATACTGCCTTACACAAGAGGGCCAAGTTATAGGTGTTTAGGGAAACCTGGCAGAATTTCTTGGCCTTGGTGAGGGGTAAAGTTGCAGGCACCAGCACAACATTAACACAACCTTGTTTTATTGCAAATGTACGTTCAGCCTAAGTTCTAATTACTCCCTTTAAAATCCTACCACCACCAAGCTTTCTTCCTACAGGGCAGCCACACGATGGTCTTAAAGGGCAGAAGCAGTGTCTAAAGTAAAGGCAGGGGAAAGTGGCTACAGCACAGTAGGAGGTGAGGCTAAAGCTGGGAAGGTGGCTTTTTATTTAGGCTTCGCAATAGATCCGTGCACTTCCATAAACTCTGGCATGGGGGCTTCCAGGCTCATCCAGTTTGCAGAAGGCCAAGGCAATCCAGAAAAGAATTCAAACATCAAAGTCTCTCTTGGGTAGGACACTGTTCTTCCTATGCATACTCCCCCATCCCCAAGACAGGGCCTGGTTAGCTTTGTAGGGGCCCGTTGTGCATCTTTTCCCGTCCCTCCAGGGCAAGGCTAGACAACCCAGGAATCCCAGGTTTCGAGGTTTGGCTCTCCTCCCTGGGTATAGTGCCTGGGGCTCTGGCACCCTCCCCTTGTGACACACTAGCCTTCATCACTACTCTAATCCCACTTGCCCCAAACCCGTGTCTTTCAAGGCCTGGCAAGGCCAGGCTGAGCGAGTCTGTCAGGCCGGCGTTGAGGAGAGGGCTCTCCCGGCCGCGCGGCCGCACAAAGCGGGGCGAACGGCTGCAGCGGCGGCGTGAGGCGCGCCCCCTCCCGCGAGCCAGCGAAGCGCGCGCCCGCCCCCGCCCCCCGCCCCAGCCCCCGGAGCGCCATTCGCGGAGCGGCTTACGCTAGTCGCCAGGCGTACGGCGCCCCAGCGGCCGGGGAGGTGCGCTGCCCGGCTCCCGTAAAGTTATTGTGAATGGGGAGCGGGTGACGTCAGCGCCGAATGTCAACAATGTAGCGATTGAGAGTGTGGGCGTTCCGGGGAGAGCGCGAGCCGCGCGGCGCGGAGCAAACAGCGCCGAGCCGCCGCCGCCTCAGCAGCAGCAGCAGCAGCAGCAGCAGCAGCAGCGGCTGTGCACGCCCGGGCTGCGATCGCAGCAGCGCTAAAGTGAGCGCCCGCCGCCGCCCTCGCCACCCCGCCTGCCCAGTCCCGCCGCCGCCCGGTTCTCGCTTTTCCCCGATCTCCCCTCGCCCCTTCCCCTCCCCCTTACCAGCACACTCGGGGGGCTGGGAACGAGCTGCCATGTGATGCGCGTCCCCTCAGCGAGCTTTCGTTGACCCCCGTATCGCCCACCGCGCCTGCTGCCGGGAGGGAGCTGCTGGCTGGAAAGACGCGGGGAAGAAGAGGCGGAAAGGACTCAAAGTTCTCTGGCGAGGTGAGTCCCTGGCCCAGGGACGTGGGCCGCGGCGCCGGGCAGGGCGGCGGGGTAAGTTTACGCGGGGAGTGGGTGCGCGGAGCGGGCGGGGAGGCGTGGGGAAGCGGCGCGGGAAGGGAACCGCGGCCGCCGGGCGCGCAGCTGCTAGCCCAGCGCCCTGCTCGCTTTTATGGCATTTTTCTAGGAACGGGAAGGGGCTGGGAGCAGAGCCGGCGGACGCGCAGCAGCAAATGTGCGCTTTCCCCGCCTGGCTGTTTACGGCGGGCGAGGCGGCATTGTATTTTGCTCGCGTCGACTGGTGTTTTGGAACAGCAGGGGGAGGAGGAGCAGAGGGTAATAAGTCAGGCGTGGGGAGGGCGGGCTGGAGGGAGGCGCGCGTCCGCGCGAGCCCGAGCAGCTGTCAGACCTACGGCCCTGTCCCTGGCGGTCGAGGTCGGGCAACCGGGTCCCTAGCCGGTGATCCGCGCGCCAGGCCCGGCGGCCTCCTCCCAGCTCAAGACATCCGCGCCCAGGGCTGCTCCGCAAAGACTGCGGTCGCCGCGCCTTTGCGCTCAGCTGTCAGCCGCAAACGGGTGGCCCTGATCATCGCGACTCGCCGGAGGATCAAAGCTCAAGTTTAGGGTCCTAGGAAAAAGCAACTGGGGACCTCGCAGAGCAGACTAGAACTAGGTGGAATACCTACTAGTCAGGGGTACGGTAGTAGGAATGCGTCCCGCGGAGCTCAACCTTGTGGCTGAGACACCTTGCACCCATCTCTTCCCAAGGTCCTACATGAAGTCCAAGTGCAACACGCACCCACACTCTACACACAGTCTCCAAGCCCCAGAAGCTCCAACTAGGATGGGAATTTATCTAGGGAGCACCTCCCCATGCCCAGACTCTCCGTGGGTCTCTCAGTTCTCTCACCCTGTGGGTGCTCAGGAGCCGAACACCACGGAGAGGGCTGAGGGCGGCGCTCACGGGCTACCCCAGGTGACTGAGCGAGCATCTCGGCGACCTCGCTCTGGCCAGGGACTTGCAAGAACTTGGACCGTGGGAGGAAGCGGGCAGGGCCGGGTGTATGTGTCTGGAAGGCCGCGCGTTCCTGGGTTCGGAGGTCTTGGGCGCGCAAGGTATTATCAGCATCCTCTTGCCTTTAAGCAAGTTTGGCAACTTGGGGCAAGTTCCCGCGCGGCAGCTGTCCGGAGTGGTTTTGTCCGTGGCCCAAGAAGGTGCGCCTCACAGCGTGCCCTCCGGGTCACCGCCACCGCCACCACCACCACCACCACCACCATTGGCACCGCGAAACCAGAAGGACAAGGGCGCCTCCCCCTCTAGACAGAGCTGCCGATTCCCCGCGGGTGGCGAGACGCGGCGTTCCTCGGTTTGCACCTTCTCTGTCTAGTGCTGCAGTCTCTCACTCTGTGTAAATTTCATCTGTTGAGTGTATTTAACTAAAAAGGGTAATTACTTTAGATAAAAATCCTTTACTGCCTAGTGGGAACCTTGGCGGAGATGATGCCTAATGAGATTTTTTGCTTTTGTCTGTTTAGAGTAAAATTAGAGATGTTAACTCCGATAACGGTTTTCTCAGATCATTAAAATGTAACGTGTAGGAAAGGCATGTCGAGCTGCGAAGGCTCTGGCTGACATGAAAGAAGCTGAGCGTGAAAGGCTGCCACTCCTCTGGTGGAGAGGGCTATTTCAGTAAGGCAGCGGGCGTCTCGCTTAAAATGTGAGACCGCCCCACCCTGGTTCTCCAGCAGCTCGCGAGTAAACGGCATTTTTCATTCTTGCAGGTAATAATAAACGTGAGTCAAAATGACATCTTGTTAGAATTAGTCTTTAGTCTGTAAGAGAGATTGCTAAATTACAATGTTGCATTCAAACTGCTCCAGTGAAAGGTCTGTCAGCCTTTCCATTATAAATTCAGTTTTTCTGGAGTTTATAATTTCACCGCAAAACTTTGAGTGGCTGTGATGTTTTTCCCTCCTGTACTTTGGTCTAAAAAATGCGTTAATTTCCAAGTTCCATTCTATTTGCTCTTTCTGAAACTTGAATATCATTCAAGTGGGGTGGGGGACCAGAAATGGAATAGACAATCATGGAACAAATTACTTTGATTAGTATTTTCATTTTGAATTTTGGAAAGCTTCAGGTTTGCCATTTGATGATCATAAATTATCAATAAATTCCTCTGATGTCTGTCTTTCTGCAGGTGGATTGGAGTGTCAGTTTGTAATGTAGATTCCAGGATTACATGGAAAGATACATTTTCCTCATGTGTGTATCTGAACTGATAACCAAATTTTGAATACCTCTATATTATTTTATTTTTCAGTCCTTTGTATGTTGCATGTCAGTATCTGTTGTAGGGAAGAAGGGGTGAAGCAGAAGGGAAGAGGGAATGGAGATCCCCTAATTCACTCTTACTATTACCAATGCCTGGGAGGAAGCCATTTATTCTCTTTCTGTTGAATTATGCCCTTTGACTTAGTATCTTCAGGCAATTCCCTTCCAGTCACTCACCTCTGGCTGCTATGTGAGGAGCTTAATTATTTGCAAACTGCCTTGAAATCCCTGGATGAAAGGCACTGAATAAGTGCAAAGTATTGTTATTCAGATATGGAATTTAATGATCCATTACAGTTCATCAGGAAAATGCACTTTACAGTGATGGTAGAAAACATTTCCACCTGATAGAGGGTAATAATAACTGCTTAAAAGTAGGTTCAGATTACAGATGAGACAATTAACTCTGGCCATGTGCTCTTCAATTTGTTGCAATTCATTTTGTGATCAAAGTGAGTCACAGAGAGCCAGATGGTGAGGTTCATGTTCAAATCTCTCCTAGGCCAGCCCTTCACTTCTGGGCCCACTGTCTACCCAGCCAAGAGGACTTGGTTATTCATTAGCACTTGTGAGCTGTGCCTCAGAATTTGTAATCGAGGCCCCTGTGATGCCAACAAAAGGGCTCAGGCCAATCTGTATTGTTGGGAGCAGTTTAATTTTACTTGGATCAAGTCTCACTTGGTGTCTCTGGTGTGGATCCAGCTTTAACAAGGAAGAGAGGGCCCAGTGGCTCTCACGCTTTGCTGTGTGCTGCTACACTGAGCTAGGCTTTGAACCTCAGATTTCAGGGGCTAGTGTCTGGCATATTGAAAATACTGGCTTGATTGTTCAATGAATGGGAGAATACTTAGGTAAACAAACACCTTGCTGTTTGTCTAGGGGCCCAAGGGGCAGGACTGGCTTCATGGCGACAGAATTGTGCAGTTGCACATGGCCCCTCCTCTCTTCCCTCAGAAGGATTTCACACCTGGTTTTATGTTCTGCTGTTATCTTTTTGAAATCCTTAATAATTCCTGAACAAGGGACCTCTCATTTCCATTTTCATTGAACCCTACAAATTATGTGCCTTGTTCTGGTGAGGAGAGGGCGTATTGTGGAGTGGCAGACAACCACTGCTCAACCTCACTCGTTGTTGTCTACTGTTGCCAGGCAGGAATTGATGGCAGTGCTGGCTTTGTGCTGTCATATCACTTGATTTTTCCAAGGGAATTTGGATATCTGGATTTTTATGTGGAATTTCCTATTTAAAAATATTGGCTCAAATTTTTATAAACATTGGTTGAGAATGTATGTAAAAATTAGCATTGTCCTGAAGATGGCCTGTCTTCTACCACTTAACAGACTAAAACATATGATTGTTTAATATTTCTATAGTTAGTTATTTTCTAAAGGCCTGACACAAAGTGGATGATTTTTGGGTGTGTACCAACTGAATCATTACAAGTATCAGGAAAATTGAAATATGTAAGAAAAGCAAAACTCCAAATCAAACCAAATCAACACTAAGTCTCACTCAGGTATTAATACTGTCCATTAAAAAGGAGAATTCAACATGAAAAGCCAAATAATTCCACAGGCACAGTGTTATCCTCTGCAGGTAAATAATTCATTGCTTTTGAATCACTTACCTTCTATTTATCTGTTATCCACCAGATGGGTATAACTTGGCCCGTTTAATGCCTGAGGACTTCCATGGGAATTTGATCTTGAAGAACATTCACTAAAACAATATATTTGTTTTGTTGAATGCTTACATGTGCCATACAGTGATAACTACTTTACATGGGTACTTTACATACGTATGAGATATATGACTACTTTACATATCTCATCGAGTCCTCAGCACAACTCTGTGAAGTAGGCATTGTGCCCATTCTACAGCATCGGAAGGTTCTAATCAGAACTTCATCTGAGTAAGTGTGTATTTTCTTGGATGTGTACAAATTATTTCCCCATCCTGTATACACAGTCCAGCATGGAGTCACTGACTGGTTAGTTCTATGTCACATACAGAGAACATGGTCTCTATCCTCTCATACATGGAACAGAGAATGATACTGGACATCACATTTGTCAATCTCTGCACTTTAGACAACAGACTGAACCTTTGTCTCCTGTTCCTCTCCTTTCCCTGTCTGGATATTGAAGAAGCCTCATTGACATATGACCCTCCCAGAGACACTCAAAGTTCAGAAGTTGAGGCTGGTTGCGAAAATTGTAATTTATTTGGTAAAGCAGATAAGAAACTTTTGGCAGAGCCCCAGTTATGTTGGGGAAAGCAGCAGCCACACCCTGGGAATGAGGGAAAAGAGCTCTGTATTGTTAATGACGATGTATGACCTATTGCTATCCCATCTTTAAATTCTACATGAATATTTACAATTTGTTCACATCTAAATTAAAACCTGCCATGGACTAAACATTTTGTAAATTCAGTAAAATATAACTCATCTCTTTTTTTTTTTTTTTTTTTTTGGTCTGGAACATTTAATAGAACAGGAGCTGAATGTGTCAATTCAAAATTTCCCTGTTGAGTTTTCCTCTTTTTTCCTATTTATTAATTTCAAATGTCATTCTACTTAAAACTGAAACTTAATCTTAATATCAGTATGCTATTCAACTTCCTTAAACCAGAACATA